GACCCTCTGAGAGCAAGGATTTTCAAGTTGAGGATACCTTAGACCAGCTTAAAAATGCCTAGGAGTTCACTCATTCGTGATTTAAAAGGAGAGTACAATGGTAATTGCATTTGGTCTCCTACAATCCATAATAAATAAAAATGAGGACATACACATCAAGAAAGATACTGCAGATTACAAAATACAAATATATTGTTTCTCTCAGAATATCAGCTCTTTGAGTCAATTATAGAGCTGCTAATAAGCCATCCCAAAACTTCTTTATTCTCTTCCTCTTATGCTCAAAAAGATGAAACCAGGGCCCATGTCCAGGTACTGGGGTTGGAAAGGCTAAAGCATGACCAATGTCTGTCTGCAGAGCCCTATGGTGTCGGTGTTGTGAAACAGAGCAGAGTCTACACACCCACTGTGCAGACGCAGCCATGCAAACAAAATCACATGCAAAAAAAGAGAGGGAGGGAGGGAAGGAGGGAACCAGAGTCACCATTAGAAATTTAAAAGTTAAAAGTAAACCTAAAATAATGAATTGTATCCAAAGAATCAAACCATCCTAGCCTTGTTTAAGAAGGTCCGCTAAGACACTCTCGTTAGCACTGTTACTTCTCTGAGTACCACAATTAGGACTTTTCAAGTTCTACTTCCTTCTGCCTTTGATACTTTCTTATATAATTTTTGCATTTTACCATTTTAATTTACCATATTACTGCTACATGTTTACCATACAGCTTTCAAAAAATGTGTAACATACATATGAAAAGTGTTAGCAGCGGTGATTCCACACTGTCTGGTAGTGGTAGGGCATGGATATCTTCCTGTTTAAATGTTAATTTTCTTTACAATGTGGCAATGAAAAAAATGCTGAAGAGGTCAAACATACCCTCTTCCAGGTCTAGATCTTATAGTCTATAAAAAGTCTAACATTATCATTGTACTATAGAAATGACTGATCTAAATTTTGATGACACAAGAAGTGTATGCTACCACTTCCTCAAAGGACAGAATGACTAACACAAAACCTTCCAAATTCTATTGCATTTGCTTGCTACTACCCAAGTTCCGAAATGCTTTACATTAGAAATTTAAAAGTTAAAAGTAAACCTAAAATAATGAATTGTATCCAAAGAATCAAACCATCCTAGCCTTGTTATAAGGTCAGAAAGAGGGAAGTGCAGAGATAGAGAGAGATTGTGAAAATTAACCTACCTGTGAGTTCTCTAAGTTTTTACTTGAGAACTGTTAAGTACATCCTAACTAATCTTAATTGCTGCTACCTGGAGTCCCCCAAAGAGCCATGAAATATAAAACATACAAGCTGTCTCAAGTCAACCTACTGACTTGCAGTTAAAAGTGGTATTGCTGAAACAAGAAGATGTTGGGGGCTGTCTCGTGTTTCTGAGTGTCCAACAGACAGTGGCACTGACTGACTGTGTTCCAGACTATCTTTCCATGGCTGTGTGTGTGTGTGTAGAGGACATCTTGGAGGATAGAGATGGGAGTCCCCGACAGAGCAAAAGGTGCACATTGTGGAAAAACACGGTGTCCACATAAAGGTTCAGACTTCCTAAGCTCATAAACCACTGGTGACCAGGTGTCACCTATCCCTCAGTCCCACCCTGTTGAAACTGAAGCTCAAGCTTAGGGAACAATGCAAGAAAATGCTAATTCTATGGCTACTGCTATTCTTGTGAGTACCAAAGTCCTTTGTCTCTTGACCTTGAATTCTCCCATCTTCCATTAACATCTAATACTATGGCAGGCTAACTTGATAGTTTGCAAACAGGGTAAAATCTCAGATCCTTTGTGGTTCTTAAAAGAATGCTACACCACAAACTTTTTTTTTAATCAATGTTCTAGGTAACCTTTTCCTAAAATGCAGCAATGCCACCATGTGTTAAAATAGCATATTGCTATTTAAAACGTACAATTTCATTTGAAACTTCAGTGTAAAATTATAATATT